TTTTTTTTATTAAATAATAATAATAATTCATTATCGAGTTTCAAGTTGAGCTTGAACTTGACGAGTTGAGCCAAATTCAAGTAGGATAATTAAGCTCGATAAATAAATGAGTCAATTTTTAGCTCAAGTTCAGTAAAGTTCGGTCTGACTTCATTCGTTTACAACCTTATATTAGTTGAGCGATTTTCATGTAGAGGTTGTTTGAGAAGTGGAGTCATTATAAAAAAGTCAAGGGTTAATTACATTTATCTCTCCTGATATTTCTGACAAATACAGTGACCTTCGTTGTGATTTGAATAATTACAACAATCTCCCCTGACAATGTCAAGATTCCCCCTTTTGTCAAATTGTTCCAAACAGTGTTATTTTTTAAATAGTAAAGTACCTTATTGTCTTTCCTTTTAAAATATTAAAAAATATTTTTGTATTTTTTGACAAGTTTGGAAGAAACAAACAGTGCTTGGAACAATATTTTTAAATTAATTTTTTAAAAATATTAAAAAAAATGTTTTTAAAAATTTTATTTTTTATTTTAAATATATAATTTTAATTTAAATATTTTATTTTATTTTGTAAAATATTTTAATTTTTTTAATTTTAATATTTTAAACTCAAAACACAACTTCACACTCAAATCGTAACCCAACACATAACTCAAAACTCAATTCAAAATTATTTTCAAATCTCATAACCAAACACATAACTCGATATTCCACTCTTTTTTCAAAACTCTACACTCAAATTGTAACCAAACGTATAACAAAAAAATTAAAATACTCCCTCCGTCCCAAAATATTAGTCCCTTATTCCATTTTTCATTGTCCCAAAATATTAGTCCCTCTTCAAAAATCAAGTACAAAAATAATATAAATTTCCTATTTTGCCCTTCTTTTAAATTAATAAACAATATACAAAGTACAATTATGACATTGATATTCCCAAAAAATGTACTATCAAAAGGATAATTTTGGAAAATCAAATTTTTTCAAATGTAATAATTGTACTACCAAAAAAAGTTGAATTCCCCAAAATGGACCATTATTTTGGGACGGAGGGAGTATTTAAAAATATATTTATAAAATAAAATAAAATATTTAAAATAAAAACTCTATATTTAAAATAAAAAATAAAATTTTAAATTTTTTTTAATATTTTAAAATATATTTAACATAAGTTTGTGTTTGGTTATGAGTTTTGAAAATAATTTTTGAATTGAGTTTTGAGTTGTCTATTTGGTTAAGACTCTATGAGTTTTGAAAATATTTTTGAAAATTTCTAATTGGAATTCTAATTCTAAAAGAGAACCAAACATATTTCTAAAAAAATCTTTTTTCAGAACATGTTTTTACTCACTACAAGAAATTAGTCCTTTAGAGACTAATATTTAGGGACTACTTAAATTTGGTCGCTAAAAATAATCTTTTAGGGACAAATTTAAACATATGATAATTTACTTACAAGATTGTAAAAATGATTATTAATATTCTCACTTAATATTTACATAATTTTTTTAGACTAATAAATTTTGTTGCTAATATATTTACATAATTTTTTTAGACTAATAAATTTGGTTGCTAATATATTATTAACATTTAGGGACCAAATATTTTCGCCATTATCAATTAAAAATAATTTGAGACCAATTATTTTCATAATTTTAACAATTGAAAAGTCGGGACCTCATTCTTCACTTCAGCCCTAACTTGCTCATTCTCTCTCTCTCTCTCTCTCTCTCTCTCTCTCCGTAATCGATCTTCATACTTGTAAGAGCTCCAAGGCAGATTGAGCTCCACATTTGAAGATTAATAGTCGTTTTTCAATTACTAATTGAAGATTGAGCTCAATCTTCAATTAGTAATTGAAAAACGACTATTAATCTTCAAATGTGGAGCTCAATCTGCCTTGGAGCTCTTACAAGTATGAAGATCGATTACGGAGAGAGAGAGAGAGAGAGAGAGAGAGAGAGAATGAGCAAGTTAGGGCTGTAGTGAAGAATGAGGTCCCGACTTTTCAATTGTTAAAATTATGAAAATAATTGGTCTCAAATTATTTTTAATTGATAATGGCGAAAATATTTGGTCCCTAAATGTTAATAATATATTAGCAACCAAATTTATTAGTCTAAAAAAATTATGTAAATATATTAGCAACAAAATTTATTAGTCTAAAAAAATTATGTAAATATATTAGCAACAAAATTTATTAGTCTAAAAAAATTATGTAAATATATTAGCAACAAAATTTATTAGTCTAAAAAAATTATGTAAATATATTAGCAACAAAATTTATTAGTCTAAAAAAATTATGTAAATATCTTTTTGGTCGGGAAAATTTCACTTTTCGCGACCAAAGTGTTTTAGCGACTAAATGAATTAGTCGCGGTAATGATATATTTCGCGACCAAAAATTTGGTCGGCAAATCTGACTTTTCCCGACCAACCAAAATTTTGGTCGCGAATTACTTTTGCCGACCCTCAATTGGCGACCAAAGTAGCGACCAAAAAAATTGGCCGCGGATAACTTTTGCCGACCAAAAATAGACTTTTAGCGACCAATTTTTTTGTTGTCAAAAGTGTTAATTCTTGTAGTGTATGCTATAGTTTGGTTTTATCGGTTTTGTTGGTTTGATGTAGAAGAGAAATTTACATGAAATTTTAAAAAGTTTTATAGTAGATTATAGAATTTTATATAGAAAATAAATGAAGAAAATATATGAAAATTGCTCTGCAAATATTTTTCTCCTTAATTTTTATCACAAAAATGTATTATATTAGTTACTTCTCATATAATGTTCAAGAAATTATAATATAAAAATATTTAAATATAATATTTGGTCGGTTCGACTTGCATCGGTATAAAACGTTTCAAAACCAAAACAGACTGTCTATTTTGAAAACCATACTAAAAATTAAAATTTCAATCAATTTTGATCAATCGACTCTGTTTTATTGATTTTTTTACATCCCTACATGTTAACTAATTAATTTTACAAGTTCAAAAACAAACTAGGTAAGTTTACATGCCAACTCCCAAAATAATAACAAAACTCAAAAAGAGCGTAGGTATAATCAAGCAGAGATACACATGTAAGTCCGTAAAAAATTTAATTGTTAAGCATGACCACCCAACTTTATGTCGTCAGATATGAGAGTACTAAAATGCTTTCTATACATTTTAAATAAAAGAGATGAAATCCCAACCCTATTTTATCACAGGAGATGATGAAAAGAGAGTAATGTCACCAAGAAGATTTAAATCCAATCTTTCAAGAGGTTTGAGCACCAAAATTCTAACCAAAGTTTGAAAAATACAAGAGGAAGCTAGATGAGTTGATAGGTATTTGTGTGAGGAATCTTAGCAAGCTCTTCCATGGAAGAAATTAACATAAAAAAAACACCATACAATGGTTCGTCCCATACCTTGAATGTGAAGGAATAGAAAACTCATGTATGGATAATATTCAACCATCACAGAAGGTCAAATATTTGAAAAGATAATGAAAATTATATCTAAAGAATTTCTAAAACACCATATAATGGTTCAAACCTTTACATAATATAAAATCAAAAAAGAAATCCTATTACATGGCTAGGGTTTCTTCAAAACCCTAGAAAATGAGACTAGCCACTCATGGAGGAGTGGGAGGAGGTAGATGGAGAAGGAACCACCATGGGAGACATCTTTGAAGCTTCTTGTTCCTTCCTCTTTTTCAAACTCTAGCCTCTCTCTTTAGGTCAAAACAATTTCAGAACCTTAATCCAGCCTTTTACTTGCCTTTTTATACTTCCAATCTCGTCCAAACAGGTTTAAAACGTCGGTTTGACTTTTCCAGAAAAAGTCAACGCACGTGCGGAAAAAGTCAACGCACGTGCGGGAAAGTCAACTCTGCCCAAATTCTGTCTTTTTGCTCATTTTATGCTCCGACGATGTACAACCTGATTGACACTTAACACACATAAGATATACAGTTTGACCAGCAAGTGAAGTTAAGAGATTCTAATTAACGGCCTCAATGATGTACATTTCGGCCTTAATCACATCTTTTTTTAGTTACTTTTTTTATTTATTTATTTTTTGGAACGGTGGTTATGTATTTTTTTTTTTGGGTATTGTTTATGCAGAAAAAAATCAGCCAACCGAAAATATTTAACAAAACACAGATTTTTATTAGTCAAAAATATAATACCATGGTATATATGAAAGTATTAAATAATGTTTAGAGAGGAAGAAACTTTTGTAGTTATGAGGTTTTTAAACCTAATTAATCAAAACACCCAGAATTCGTCTTAATCTCCTCATGTTGCTTCTTATCTCTTAAAACTCCAGGTAATTCAATCAAAACACGCTTAGATTCAACATCTTCAATCCCAACTAGCCGAAATGGTATTGTCCAAGATCATAAGCACGTTCTGCCCAACACACCCAAATCACAGCTCCCAAAAGCGCTCTTACTCTTCTCCTTCGGCTTTATGTTATGTTTTTCTTTCTCTACTTGTTTCTAGTGTATGTATGCATGTTTGCAATTTATGTTTTGTTTTTCTTTCTTTACTTGTTGGATTTTACTGCCGTAATCACCAGCCTCCTATAGAAAGCCATTTGGTATGCTATAGCCATTACACTTGGACTTAACATTGCCAAACCTTTCTTCTCTTTATAGGGTTTGACCTTATTTGATTTATGACCTTATTTAACTTAACATTGTGATTATTTATTTTTTAAAGTGGGGATATGATTGTTATCAATGTTATTATGTGTCCTGATGTTTTTCTTTTGCTTTTGTTTTTGCTTTTGTTTTATGTGGTGTGCCTTGGCAATACATCCCTGAATTTTTGTTTGTCAAAAGATAGATATGAATCACATAGTCAAAAGTAGATATACATATTAGTGAATTTTCTTCAAGAATTTAGTTGTGTTCCTCCTTTAAGACCATATATAGAAAGTAACAAGATATTGGAATTGAAGGATAATGTCTTTGTATACTTTGTAATAGGGATTTCGGGATGGATAGGAGTTGGATGCAACTTCATAATAGAAGGTTACATCAATACATTGATGGGGTAAAAGAATTTATCATGTTTGCTCGTGATCATATAAAATCAGGGACGAGTAAGATTTGGTGTCCGTGTAATAGATGCAATAACCGTATCCAAAAAACAATAGATGACGTTGAAATTCATTTGTTTGCATATGGAGTTGTCACAACTTACACTAGGTGGGTGTATAATGGGGAAGATTTTGAGTTGAATGACAGTGATCTCTCGGAAAATGAAAATGACGAATATTTCAATAATGTGACAGAGAAATCAAATTCTCCCAATACTGAGGTGCGAGAAATTGTCCATGACATACATAGTGGACCGTCCACATTTGCTTATACTGGGGAAGCATCTAGTAGTCGTAATCCTGACTTGTCTGGTGCTCATGGTAGTGAAGGAAATGCATTTGCAAGATTAATGAGGGATGCAGAACAAGAATTGTATCCGAATTGCCAACGAAATTCCAAATTATCATTCATTGTTAAGCTGCTACATCTAAAGGTGCTCAATAAATGGAGCAACAAATCACTCACGATGATGCTAGAACTACTGAAGAATGCACTTCCCATCGGGGAAACACTCTCATGCTCATACAATGAAGTTAAACAAATACTTCGAGATTTGGGCCTTGATTATCAAAAAACACATGTATGTAAGAACGATTGTGTACTTTTTTGGAAGGAGTATGAAAATGAAGATAAATGCCCTACTTGCAAGGAGCCTAGATACAAATTTCATAAAGGTGAAGGTAAAGGTAAAAAGATCCCTCACAAGGTTTTGCAGTACTTTCCTTTAAAACCAAGGCTACAAAGGTTATTTATATCAAGGAAGGTAGCTACTGATATGAGGTGGCACAAAGATAAACGCGTGGAGGAGAAAAATGTAATGCGCCATCCAGCGGACTCTGAAGCATGGAAAGACTTTGACAAAAGCATGAGTCATTCGCCAAAGATCCTCGAAATGTTAGGCTCGGATTGGCAAGTGACGGCTTCAATCAATTTGGGAATATGAGTACCTCATATAGCATATGGCCAGTTTTTATTGTCCCATACAATTTGCCACCCTGGAAATGCATGAAAGATCCATTTTTTATGATGCCTTTGCTTATTCCTGGGCGTAGAGCTCCTAGATTTGACATTGATGTGTTTTTACGACCGCTAATAGATGAGCTAAATGAGTTATGAGAGGTAGGGGTAAAGGCCTATGATGCATCAAATGGCTCTAATTTTCAATTGCGTGCGGCATTATTATGGACTATCAATGACTATCAATGGCTTTAGTGCACATCTCAGCTGTTTTCATTGTTTGTAGCTATTGATACAGTTTATTTGATTTGCTACATCACATATATTAGCCCTGAGGATACAGTTTATTGTTTGTAGCTGTTTTCATTGAATGTGTTTCATTTCATTGTCTGACAAAATGAGCCAATATAGTAGTAGTTTTCATTAGTTTGCGAGCAACAAATTGACTTCTTTTTATCACTTTTATTGTTCTTGTTATTGATTTTTAGAGGTAGAGGACAGGGAGGCTATGTGCCCAACAAATTAGCAGCTATGTCTTTTGCATCCACATCTACTCAGTCAATTCTTTCATTTACGTCAAAAATTGTGCCCCTAACAACATCTGCATCAACATCTGCAGCTGCATCAACATCAGCATCTATGCATGAAGTTACATCACAAGCCTCGTACTTGGATACTTCTAGCACGGATTGTTGTATTGCTGGCAGGTTTGTAAATATTTTAGTTTTATATTATTTTTTGGTTGGTTGTTTATTCTTTTCATCCAATGCATATTTTAGACATTGATGTGTTTTTTCTATATGTTGTTTTTAATAGATACAACAGAGCATAAGAAAGGACGTGGGAAGTCACGAAGCCTCGCATTACTCAAGATAAAAAGTCAAGGGAAGCGATTGGATGTTGAAATTTGTAAGATTACTGGGAATCCATTGGGACCGTGGTCTGATAAATTCATCACCGAGTTGGGGATCGTCACTAGGCAATTTGCCTCACAAAATATGCCTAAGTGGAGTTTTATTAGCCCTGAGGATAAAGAAACGCTAATTGCATACCTTCGAGTAAAATAGTTTTTTTTTAGTCTAGTTTAATATTCCCTTTTAGTTTATGAATTATGTTGCTTAGGTGCTGTTTGATAACACTTACGTTTTCAGTTTTCTATTTATATTTACAAAAATTTAAAAAACTCAAATAAAAACTTGTTTGGTAAAATTTTTGATTTCTAAATCAATGGTCTCAGTTTATAAATTTGGCCAAAAAATGAAAACACAAAAAATGTGTTTCCATTTTGAATTTTCAGTTTTTTTTTTACCACCCAAAACTAGCCACCACCCATGAAGATATCGAAAAAGAGGTGTGGCGATACCTGTGTCAATTATGGGATGATAAGACGTACTAGGTAATTGTTGAACACACTTGTAATGCACTTGCACACACTTGTGGTGGGGCTGCAGCTCTTGTGTAGGCTGCTTGTACTTGGGCTGCTAATGATGCTACATCTGCTGCTGTGGCGGAGGCTGCTGCTATGCATGTAGCTGCTGCTGTTACTAAGCATTTGGGCACATGGACTTGATTTCTTTTGAATATATTTTTACACTTCATGCAGGAGAAATGTCAGAAAAACAAGGAAAATCGGTTTGAGCTTAAAGTCCTCCATACAGCTGGCTCAAAGGCATTTAGAAAGTTGCAATACGATGAGGTAAACAACTGACCTTTAAATCATAGGGTCTACATGGCACTGTTTTTTTTTCTTTTATTTGGTGATGTATGTACTCCATAGGATACTAACTATAAAGGTTTTGACAGCGAGACAAGGATGGAAAGGAGCTTGGACTTGTTGATTTGTATCACAAGACATATTTTAGTCAGAAAAGGCAAGCATGGGTCCATAATGAAGCTGAAATTAGACATGTAAGAATTTTCTAATGTTAAATATAAGTATTTTCCCATTAATGATTACTTGTCTAAGGCTCATGTGTTGTGAATCTTTAGCACTAAGAACGAACAATGTAAATGATTATGAATGTAAATGATTAGGACTAGATCATCCAAGGGATTTTTGAGTTACAAGTGGCTACTAGATTATGTCCTTGCTGACCTGGCTGTGTATTTGGTATTTGGCAATATAGAGAAGACTACCTATTGGTTACTTGCATTGAGAACTACTCACCTGTTCTTAAGTTTGGAAATATTGGAGTGAAAGTTTATGAGACAAAATGGTATGATTTGAATATTTGCAGCATTATTGCTGCAAGGCTAAGGTTTGGTAGGAGCTTTAATTGTATAGGCACTGACCTAATAATCCATCTTGGTTCAACTTGGGCCTGAGACCATTAACTATGTCATGCTTGATCCAGTGATAAACTTACCAAGGGTAGCACTAGAAATGCAATTCATACTAACTCAAATAAACTGGTATTGTTAATTAATGTTTGCTAAGCGTGAATAATGAAACTTATGATTGATATGCTTCTGTAGGTTGTCTGGTACCTAGAAACAAGGATGGCATGGCATCTAAAAACGCATGTTTGAAGACAATATTAGACCTGTTAATACTTTAAAGTTAGAAATTTCAGCTTTTGGGAAATGCTACTTTAAAGTTAGAAAATTCAGTTAGAATATTAGACCTGCTACTAGATTATGGTGCTTTCTCTACCAGTTATTATGTTCTCTCTAGGATAAGTAAATAGGAAAATCAATGTCTTCAGTTGCTCTGTTACAATGTATATATAAAATGACTATATTTAATTTCATGAACAATTGTAAAAAAAACTTATAGAGCGGGAGAATGAAGCTATAGAAGATGGATTTGGCCCACTATCTGATGAGCAGCTTTCCATTGAGGTGTTTGGGCGTAAGTCTGGCTACATAAGTGGTTTAGGACGTGGTCCTAAACCTAGTACAACAGCATCTGGTCGACGTACTCGTGCTGCTCTTGAGATAGAAAATGAGAAAACTAGAAGGGAGCTTGAAAAGCAACGGAGAATCAATGAGGAACTGAATGCAAGAGTGCACAACTTGGAGTCTAATAGCGTGGAGGTCATTGCCAAGATTGATTTGGTGCTACAACAGATTAGTCGGGGAGGTTTTACTTCTGATTTACCATCATAGTAAGTACTTTTTGCTCTAGATAGATCTGTCATAGTTATAAATTTAGTGTGTTTGTTATTTAGAACATTTGATTATAATAACGTGCTTGGATTATGATAACCTTATTGTGTTGATTCTAGGTGACTCACTTTCTTGTTATGTTGATTCTTATTATAGCTCACTAATACTTCAAGTACACTGAGATAACGTGTTTTTTCATTATTTGTAACTTATTTGATTATGAATGACTATTGATTATTTAATGAGGTTATGCTGTGCTGATTCTTATTATTTGATTCTTCTTTTTGAATTTTGGGTTACAGGGATGTCCAAAGGGTGTCACACCTAAGTACAACTTGAAGCCTCTTGTACCAAGCCTGTCTGATATAAAGCTTGATATTGATGTTGAGAAAATGCTTTTTTGGATATTTTCTTTGAAGAAACTATGTTGTTATTCTTCATTTGAACTGTTACTACTTTGATTTGAATTTGGAAACTTTCAGTTTTGATTTTTGTCAAATTTACTTTCTATATACTCATTATGGTTTGGGAATAGAGTGGGTTTGATATGTGGATGTCAATTTTTTTTTAATATGATTGGATGACATTTAATTTTGTGCATTTTAGCTATGAGATTAAATGATTACAAAATTTAACTTTGATTTTTAGCGACAAAAATGTGTTGTAGAGAAAGTTATGTCTTTTAGCAACCAAATATCATAAAAGTATCATTATTTTGTTTTTTGCGACCGAATTGGGACATTTTATGACGAAGTATTAGCGACCAAATGTTTGGTCTTGTAAAATTAAACATTTTGTGACAATATAAAATTGGTCGCTAATTGTCATTTTTGGGGACATTTTCAAAAATTGGTTGCTAAAGACTTTTCTAGACGCACTTTTAGTGACTTTTTTAGTGACGAAATTAATTTTGTCACAAAAACCATTTAGAGACTAAAATAATAGTTTTAGGGACCAAAATAATTGGTCGCCAAAAGTCTTATATGTTGTAGTGACTCAAAACGCAATTCAAAAGTTATTTTCAAAACTCATAACCAAATACAAACTTAAAATTTAATTCAAAACTCTTTTCAAAACTCAAAATCAAACTTTTTCAAAAACTCTATTTTAAAAGAAAAAAATTCAAAAAAAAATTATTTTATTTTTAAAATTATTTTTAGAATCATGATTTGAGTGTGGAGTCGTATTTTGAGTTATGAGTTTTGAAATGATAAAATTTGTTTGGTTATAAATTTTGAAATTTTTTGAAATTATTTTTTTAGGGTAAATGTTTTATATTTTAAATATTTATTTATTTATTTTAATATGCATTATATTTCATACATCTATATGTTGTATTTTTTTAAAATAGTATAGAGTGTCGAGTTATGTGTTTGGTTATGAGGTTTGAAAATAATTTTTTAATTGAGTTTTGAGTTATGTGTTTGGTTACGATTTGAGTGTGAAATTGTGTTTTGAGTTTGAAATATTAAAATATTTACAAAATAAAATAAAATATTTAAATAAAAATTATTTTTTTTAAAATATTTTTTAATATTTTAAAAAAATAAATCCAAAAATACTGTTCCAAACATTATTTGTTTTTTCCAAACCTATCCAATCCAAAAACATTTTTTAATATTTTAAAAGGAAGGACAATAAGGTAATTTATTATAAAAAAAGTAACATCGTTTGAAACAATTTGACAGAAGGGGGGAATCTTGACATTGTCAGGTAAAACAGGAGAAGTTACTGTAATTATTCAAACCACAGGAGAAGTTCCTATATTTTTCATGATTCACACTTTAATGAAAATGATCATGAAAAATTTATGACCCTTGAATTATCTTGATTAGTGTGTGGTGCTTTATTTTAAGTGTAATCCAAAGGTCATGAATCTTTCATGATCATTTTCATGAAAGTTTTTTCATGATACCTAGCATTGCTCCATCAAGATAATCTAAGGGTCACAAATTTTTCATGATCCTTTGCATGACAAAATTTTCATGATCTCTGACATTTTTCATACTATAAATACTCAATAATCACACCCATGACTTTATCACTTAATTCTCTTGAAATTTGGAAACCCAACCCCAACCTCACATCCATTTCTTTCAATGATCATGTTTCTGGCTCTCATGCACATTGTCCATCTAACAGTACCCATTTGGGCCAACCGATCGCCTTACAATCCAACCGGTTACTTCCTATTCGAATGCCCTGCCCCCACAACTGCAACTTTGTTATCCAATTGCCAGAAATGGAGTCCCAATAATAATTCTAATTTTAAATACTACCCATATCATGAGGTGTCCAAAGCATCCCAAATTTCAGGTGATCCCAAATCCCCTCAGTCGTTATATGCTTGCATTGTTCGAAAGCAATCCGATCATGGAGGAGCAGTTCGACGGTTCGAAGTGCAGTTCGAAGGTCATCACTGACGAGTATAAATAGCAGGGCAACCCCCAGGAAAAAGAGGACGGACTCAGATCATACAAATCAGTCATTTACTTCATATATTTTCTTTTCCAGTCTTTTACATTTCCAGTCTTTAAATACCTGTTCTTTAAATACCTGCACTTCAAATACCCGCACTGCACTTCGATTCGTAGAAGTAGCTTCTAGTAGATTCAAGTAGATTGCTGTTGTAAACCTCTCTGAGGCTGAGTTCGGACCATTGTAAGTGTTCATCTTTATGAAATACTTCAATTGTTCTTCATATTACTGTTATTTCTATTAACTTCTCCTAAGTCAAGCCACCAGTAAAAGTCCTCTTCATTGAGGCTGAAAAGAACTAAAATACAATCGTCTGATAATTTGTTGGCAATCACAATTTCCGTAAGGACTGATTGATCCTTGCTGGCACGCTCACATTCACAAAAATACCCTTCGAAAAGCCAAAAAGCCAACAAGATGATACAGGCATGTTACGAGCTAGGTTAGAGGACAGTTCATTCCTAATTAATCAAATCACTGATCATAGTTATACCATTCAATCAAAACTTGATATCAAGTATAGTTTGTCAGTGCCTGCATACATTGCGCCACAGCAAATCTATGCTACAGTTAGAACCATGGAGGACAACGGGCATTGTAATATGACATGGCTATTCCCTCTTGATGGCAGTTTTTATCACCTTGTTAGGCTTCATTTCTGCGAGGTCATAAAGGATATTTGGCAAGACAATCAAAGGGTTTTTCAAGTTTATTTAAATGACAATTTGTTGAGAATTATGCAGACGTGATACACTGGAGTGGTGGAGTCGGCGTCCCAGTGTACAGAGATTACATTGTTAATGTCACAAGAAATAGCCAAGAGATGTTTCTGTCTTTGGCATTAAAGAGCACAGAAAGTCTGAATGGGCCAATCTTAAATGGCTTGGAAATCTTCAAGCTTGACCACGCCTACGATCTTGCAGGGCCTTTTCCATTTGGAAAGAGAACACACCCATTTGGAATGTCAAATAGATTATTACAGAATAATCCAAAGATAGTATTCATTCCATTTTATACTCTGTTTCTGATCAGGTGGTTCCCGTTTCACTCAAATTTGCAGAGGAGAACTTTCAAATTGGCATCATCAGATCACTGTCGTTACTTCACACTTTGTTGAGATTAAGGGGTTGTTTGAGATATTCTAAATAAGTGTACTTTTTGTCTTTTTGGACTAAAATGTTGAGGGAAAAAATATGGATGTTTGGGTTAACTTTTTGACTTTTTATGGAAAAATGTGTAATAAAAAATTGTAAAAATTAGTTTGTAGAGGAAAATTAGGATTGGGAGTTATGCAGCCGTAATTGTTGACTTTTGGTGAACAGTATTAACTTTTTAACTTTTTGAGTAACTTTTTGATTTTTTGACTTTTTTTAAGTATCCCAAACTTAGCCTAAATCAGCTACAAATAACTTCTCTGATGCTAATCTAATTGGTGCTGGTGGATTTGGAAAGGTCTATAAGGGGTACATCGATGGTGGTGCCACCTCTGTCACGATAAAGCGTGGGAGTCCAACCACACATCAAGATCTACACGAGTTCCACACTGAAATCACCATACTAACCAAACTCAAGCACAACAACCTTGTCTCTCTAATTGGGTATTGCGTCCATGAAAAAGAGATGATACTAGTGTATGAATTCATGGCTCGAGGTACCTTACGTGATCACCTATATAACACCCAGAAGCCCCCACTTCAATGGAAGGAGAGACTCAAGATTTGCATTGGTGCTGCACGGGGGTTAAACTACCTTCATGTTGATGCAAAGCAGACCATCATTCACCGTGACGTGAAGACGACAAATATTCTCTTAGATGAGAGTTGGGTAGCTAAGGTTTCAGATTTTGGGTTGTCCAAATTTGGGCCTAAAATCATGTCTTGCACTCATGTTAGCACTGTAGTGAAGGGTAGTTTCGGGTACATAGATCCAGAATACTACCGTTGTCAAAAGTTGACAGAAAAGTCAGATGTGTACTCTTTCGGTGTGGTATTGATGGAAGTATTGTGTGCCAGACCGGCAGTCTTACCAATGGTGATGGAAGAAGAGGAAGACAAGCTAGAACAAGCCAACTTGGCTGAGTGGGCTTTACATTGTCATCAATTAGGGACCCTTCATCATATTATAGACCCGTTTTTGAAGGAAAAGATTGACCCAGAATGTTTTAAGACATTTGTGGAATTAGCAAAGAAGTGTTTGGCAGGTAGAGGAAGTGAACGACCCACGATGGGCGATGTGTTGTGGTACTTGGAATTAGCACAGCAACAACAGGAAGCTAATACAGTAGAGGAAAAAACGTGTATTGCAAGTGAGGAGTTTGTGACCATTGATGTTCAATATTGTGCTCGTGGCATTGGAAATTCAAATGCAACACTCGGAGCAGAATTTTCGGAGCTCATGGACCCAGTTGGTCGTTGATGGATTTCAACAGACAATTCTTTTAACCTTGTAAGCTCATCTAGTATAATAATTCTATAAACATAGGACCAACCACTGAACAGACCACAAAAAAATACATATCAGATAAGTTTATGTTATCATTTATGTGGTTTGTTTTATCAAAAAAATACATATCAGATAAGTTTATGTTATCATTTATGTGGTTTGTTTTATCAAAAAAATACATATCAGATAAGTTTATGTTATCATTTATGTGGTTTGTTTTATCAAAAAAATACATATCAGATAAGTTTATGTTATCATTTATGTGGTTTGTTTTATCAAAAAAATACATATCAGATAAGTTTATGTTATCATTTATGTGGTTTGTTTTATCAAAAAAATACATATCATACTCAAGTTACTCTATTTGTATATTATGTTATCATTTATATTTATTCTTTTCCAACTATTTCCCCTTTTAATAGTTCTTTTCCATTAGATAAGTTTTATAAGCTTTGTTAGCTAGTTTATGGGTGGTGGCATCTAGTGTTAGTGGTCTTGTGAGCTAGTGTTGGTTTCTCACCAACACTATGCTTGGTTTCCTTTCTTTTTCTTTTTTCTTTCTCATCTTTATTGATGTAATCTCATATGTAATGTATGATTTCTTCATCAATAAAAAAATTTTTTGCTGATAAAAAAAATAAATAAAAATAAGTTGTAAAAACTAACAATTGATATATATGTTAATTTTTAGCTAATATTCAAGATAAGTGGTAAAAACTACATAATTTTATAAATTTAATTTTGGGTATTATAATAGGTGATATAGGCGGTTGCTTAAGGTATGATGGACATTTTTTTTATTGGTAAAAAAATAATATTTTATGAATATTAGACATGAGACAATGAAAAAACAACAAAAGGGCCAAACCCAAACAACACTAATACCTCATTTTACATCAGATTATTTTAATAATTTTTTAATTTTTTATGAAAAGATATATAAAAAAATAAAGAGATTAATATAATAATTTATAATAATTTTTTTAACTTTTTAACTAAAATATATAATTGACAAACTAGACTTAAGATCAAACCCAAACAACCAGCAGCTGACTTATCAAAAAAAGGTTTCTAGGTGACATCCATCAGACAAGGCAACCAAGAAAGAAAAGCAGAACAAAGGTGCCTCCTGCCAGCCACTCTAGTGGATCCTAAGGCAACCAAGAAAGAAAAGCAGAACAAAGGTGCCTCCTGCCAGCCACTCTAGTGGATCCTAAGGCAACCAAGAAAGAAAAGCAGAACAAAGGTGCCTCCTGCCAGCCACTCTAGTGGATCCTAAGGCAACCAAGAAAGAAAAGCAGAACAAAGGTGCCTCCTGCCAGCCACTCTAGTGGATCCTAAGGCAACCAAGAAAGAAAAGCAGAACAAAGGTGCCTCCTGCCAGCCACTCTAGTGGATCCTAAGGCAACCAAGAAAGAAAAGCAGAACAAAGGTGCCTCCTGCCAGCCACTCTAGTGGATCCTAATTAGAATTTATTGAATAATTTACTGAGAATTTATAAAGCAATTTACTGAAAATTTACAGGAAATTCACTAATTAATGTTCGAATAATTTACTGAGAATTAACAAAGTATTTCACGAAATTTTTTTTTGATAATTTTATGAGTAATTTACCAAGAATTTATATAGAATTTATTGAGAATTTTCTTAGAATTTATTGAAAAATTTCTGAGCAATTTATTTACAATTTATTAAATAATTTACTGAAAATTTACAGATAATTTACAAAGTAATTTATAGAGAATTTATTGAAAACTTAACGAGTAATTTATTGAGAATTTACTACGAATTTATGGAGTAATTTGCTGAATAATTTACTAAGAAATTACTTTGAATTTACCAAGAATTTAGAATTTTTTGAGAATTTATTGAGTAATTTACTCATAATTTACTGATTAATTCACACAAAAAAATTCTTGTAATTTTTTTGTGAATTTACTCAGGATTTTCTGATAAATTACTAAGAATTTGCTGAATAATTTATAGAGAATTTTACGTGTGATTTACTGAGAAATTTCCTGAGTAATTTAGTGAGAATTTACAAAATAATTTGCTGAGTAATTTACAGAGAATTTACCAATAATTTACTGATAAATTACTGAATAATTCACTCATTAATTTACTTGTAATTTAATGAGAATTTAAGGAGTAATTTGTTGAGAATTTACTCAGTAATTTATTTAAAATTTATTAAATAATTAACTAGGAATTTACAGATAATTTACTGCGCTATTTTCTTGGAATTTACAGAGTAATTTTCTAATAATTTGCTGAGTGATTTACTAAGTAATTGACTAAGAATTTTTTGAGAACTTAACGATAATTAACCAAGTAATTTACAGAGAATTTATTGAGAATTTACCGAGTAATTTACTGGGAATTTACTTAGTAATTTACAAAATAAATTTAGTGAGTAATTCACCGAATAATTTACTATGAATTTACTTAGTAATTTATATAGAATTTACTCAGTAAATTACTAAGAGTTTATTAACAATTTACTGAGAATTTGTCGAGTAATTTTCTAGGAACTTACCAATCATTTATGAAGCAATTTACAGAGCAATTATCTGAGTAATTTATTGAGAATTTACTATGAATTTAATGAGTAATTTACTCATAATTTATTGAGAATTTTCTTAGAATTTATTGAGTAATTCACCGATAATTAATTGAGTAATTTATAGAGAATTTATTGAAAATTTAACGAATAATTTATTGAGAATTTACATTCCACACTGAAATCACCATACTAACCAAACTCAAGCACAACAACCTTGTCTCTCTAATTGGGTATTGCGTCCATGAAAAAGAGATGATACTAGTGTATGAATTCATGGCTCGAGGTACCTTACGTGATCACCTATATAACACCCAGAAGCCCCCACTTCAATGGAAGGAGAGACTCAAGATTTGCATTGGTGCTGCACGGGGGTTAAACTACCTTCATGTTGATGCAAAGCAGACCATCATTCACCGTGACGTGAAGACGACAAATATTCTCTTAGATGAGAGTTGGGTAGCTAAGGTTTCAGATTTTGGGTTGTCCAAATTTGGGCCTAAAATCATGTCTTGCACTCATGTTAGCACTGTAGTGAAGGGTAGTTTCGGGTACATAGATCCAGAATACTACCGTTGTCAAAAGTTGACAGAAAAGTCAGATGTGTACTCTTTCGGTGTGGTATTGATGGAAGTATTGTGTGCCAGACCGGCAGTCTTACCAATGGTGATGGAAGAAGAGGAAGACAAGCTAGAACAAGCCAACTTGGCTGAGTGGGCTTTACATTGTCATCAATCAGGGACCCTTCATCATATTATAGACCCGTTTTTGAAGGAAAAGATTGACCCAGAATGTTTTAAGACATTTGTGGAATTAGCAAAGAAGTGTTTGGCAGGTAGAGGATGTGAACGACCCGCGATGGGCGATGTGTTGTGGTACTTGGAATTAGCACAGCAACAACAGGAAGCTAATACAGTAGCGGAAAATACGTGTATTGCAAGTGAGGAGTTTGTGACCATTGATGTTCAATATTATGCTCGTGGCATTGGAAATTCAAATGCAACACTCGGAGCAGAATTTTCGGAGCTCATGGACCCAGTTGGTCGTTGATGGAATTCAACAGACAATTCTTTTAACCTTGTAAGCTCATCTAGTATAATAATTCTATAAACATAGGACCAACCATTGAACAGACCACAAAAAAATACATGTCAGATAACCGTTGTACTCAAGTTACTCTATTTGTATATTATGTTATCATTTATATTTATTCTTTTCCAATTATTTCCCCTTTTAATAGTTCTTTTCCATTAGATAAGTTTTATAAGCTTTGTTAGCTAGTTTATGGGTGGTGGCATCTAGTGTTAGTGGTCTTGTGAGCTAGTGTTGGTTTCTCACCAACACTATGCTTGGTTTCCTTTCTTTTTCTTTTTTCTTTCTCATCTTTATTGATGTAATCTCATATGTAATGTATGATTTCTTCATCAATAAAAAAAATTTTTGCTGATAAAAAAAATAAATAAAAATAAGTTGTAAAAACTAACAATTGATATATATGTTAATTTTTAGCTAATATTCAAGATAAGTGGTAAAAACTACATAATTTTATAAATTTAATTTTGGGTATTATAATAGGTGATATAGGCGGTTGCTTAAGGTATGATGGACATTTTTTTTATTGGTAAAAAAATAATATTTTATGAATATTAGACATGAGACAATGAAAAAACAACAAAAGGGCCAAACCCAAACAACACTAATACCTCATTTTACATCAGATTATTTTAATAATTTTTTAATTTTTTATGAAAAGATATATAAAAAAATAAAGAGATTAATATAATAATTTATAATAATTTTTTTAATTTTTTAACTAAAATATATAATTGACAAACTAGACTTAAGATCAAACCCAAACAACCAGCAGCTGACTTATCAAAAAAAGGTTTCTAGGTGACATCCATCAGACAAGGCAACCAAGAAAGAAAAGCAGAACAAAGGTGCCTCCTGCCAGCCACTCTAGTGTGACTTGACTTTGGTTGCAAGTGTATGGGGTTGACTAGTCCACTTAAAACTCCAAGATAATTTTCTCTATTTTTTTTTTCTTTTTTTAAAGTATACTACCACGCAGCTGTTGAATAAGTGAACGTGAGAGATTTTTACAGTCCTTGAATTGATTTTTACAGTCCTTGAATTGATGTAACAACAATGTTAGAGGCCTCTAAAAAGACGCCTCTAAACACACTTCTAATGAGGTGAAAAAGAAAAAAAAAAAAAAAAATCAAAACACATGACTGACAGTGACAATGGGTGGGACCCACTGCCACATCACTAATGGTACCTCTAAATTAGAGGTCCCAAGCATTTTTCTTGATGTAATACAAAATGATTCAATTAAAATTTTTCCACGTAGTGCTCCATAAGCGAGAATTACCCTCCAAAGCTACTTCGAAAATTTACTGAATACAAAAAATATATAAAAATATTTTAAAGATTTTTTCACATAGATAAAATTCTTTTAAAAATTTATTGAATACAAAAAAATAAAAAAAAGTATATTTTCATATTTTGTTGTATTTAATGAATTTTTAAAAATTTTGTGTATAAATTTTATTCTTTGAATACAAAAAATATATAAAAATATTTTCAAGATTTTTCCACATAGATAATTTTAGTATATTTTTGTATTTTGATGTTCACCTATATAATAATAAATTATCTGAATTATTAATTGAAATAAAATTTTAATATTACTAGAAACTGTTAATTAACTTGATAATTTATTAATAAGATGACCTATTTGTTATGAAATTAGAAATTTTAGGGGACATAATATAATTTATAAAATCAGAGGGGGTAATTCGTAATTTAAGTAAACCTTAGGGGTATGTTTGTAATTTATCAAAAAAATTCAAAATTTTAGTATATTTTCGTATTTTGCTTTATTTAACGAATTTTTTAAAATTTTATGTATAAATTTTATTCTTTTTTAAGTGTATCTATCTAGATTAAATGGACCTAAAAGGTTATTAAAAAAATTTGATTAAAATGTTTAAAAAATTCACCAAAAATATATTTTAAAAATGGATTAAAATCTCAAAAAATAATTTTTAAAAACTCCCAATCAAACAGAGTGATTATATTATTATTTGGTTAATACTTTCGTGTCCTGTCTCTTGTTTTGTTTTATAAAAGAAAATTGAAAATTTGAAGCAAAAAGACATTTGGTTTTATGTTGTTTTTTTTAAAGTGTTGTTTGGTTTTGATTGATTTTCTAAATATTGAAACTTTTGTTTTTCGTTTTTTTTTTAGTGAATTTTTTTAAATATTTTAAATAAACTTTTTACTGTATAGATGCACATAACTTAGATGCACCCAAAAAGTAAAATATTTATGAAAAAATATTTTAAAAATTCAATAAATACACAAAAATAAAAAAAAATATTGAATTTTAAAAAAAAAAATTTGTATTTGATGATTTTTTTTTAAAACAATTCATAAATATTATACTTTTTAAGTGTATTCAGATTAGATGTATCTAAAAAATAAAAAAATAAATATTAAAATATTAAATTTTTTGACAAAAAACGAAAAAATCCAAAAAATAAAAAATTCAATTTTATGAAAAGTTCACTCAATTTTCTGAAACCAAACAAGATTTCCTAAAAATTTCACTTATTTTCAAATTAAAAATAGACCTTTTATTTTCTTTTCAAAATAAGTTTTCATTCCCTCATTCGGCACCACTTCTGACCACCACCAGATCCAGCCCTTTCCCCATCATCAACTACCCACCACCTTCAACCAAACTCAACCACTCTCCATGACCCTCCTATTACTCCCTGGTGTTCGTTGCCACCTTCTTATTGACAACCACCACTGCCCGTAATTCACAAGCATGTATTTTTTCTTTTCATATACTTTCAAAATATTTATGCACCCTAAATTAAACTTTTTATTTATATTCTTTTGTAAAATAAAATAAGTACATTTTTTTGGACAATGTTACCAAGCAAAATACTCAACTTTCTCGACTATGTTCAAATAATACTAAATATTTGTTAAATACTTGAATCGATCATGTTGAATTGCAACATAATATATATCTTTAAATTATTATTATTAAAAATTTGAACATGTTAGGTTTTTGTAATCGACAATTTCGTTTGACAAAACTCCTTTTAGTTGTTATTTTATTCACTCTTTTGTTTCAGTGAGTATATGCGTGTTTAGATACGAATCCAACCCGAATTGTGTCTGTGTAGAGGAATTTGTGTTACATTCTGTATTTTGAGCATTACTTGTTTGTCACTTCATTGATTATGTATAGGAATCAAAGCCAAAGTTATTTGATGGCTCGAGCGATCATTTGTGCGCCTAAGCGATGAAGTGAATCATATAGTATCTCTGCTTGCAAACTGAATTTCTGATAAATATGTTTCATCGCTCGAGCAGTGGATGTTGCGATTAAGCAGTTGGCCTATATTTTTTGCACCGCCTGCACTCACACCGCTTGAGCAACGAAGTGTGCGCTCAAGGAGTATTCACAGCTCTGTTTAGTATAAAATGCGTCATTTGTTGTTTTTAGGGTTGGATCTATTCAAATTATCAGAGAGAAATAAACTACAAAGTGTTTTACATTGGAGGGTGGTTTATATGAGTTTTCTTGATATATAGAAGGTGGTCAATTGATCAACGAACTACATATTGATAAACATCAAGGGATGATTTTGTTCGTTTATTCACAAAAAGATAGAAGCGTTCATTAGGGGATTCCGGAAAACTTGGGCCTGAACCTTTGGTGAATTCCGGAGTGGCTCATCGTTGTAGATTCAACATTGACATTATGAATTCAACGTTGGGCAAAATAATTTCAATGTGAAGACGGCGGTGGAAGATGCATATTGGGTTTGGTTCAATTCAAGCGTGAATTCGCTAGGTAATTAAGTATACTCATGTATAATTTATTTTTGTCTTCTTAGTGGATTATTTTGTGGCTTTGACCCGTGTTCGTTTATTCACAAAAAGAGAGAGGTGTTCATCAGGAGATTCCAGAGAACTTGGGTCTAAAGCATTGGTGGATTCCGGAGTAGCTCATCATTGTAGATTCAACATTGGCATTATGAATTCAACGTTGGGCAAAACAATTTCGATGTGAATATGGCGGTGTAAGGGGCATATTGGGTTTGGTTCAATTCAGGCGTGGATTCGCTAGGTAATTAAGAATACTCATGTATAATTCATTTTCGTCTTCTTAATGGATTGTTTTGTGACTTTGACCCGTGATTTTTTTATCATAACTAGAGGTGCTTCAATTATAATTTTTTCCACGTTAAATCATTGTTCTGATTTGTCGTTAATTGTTTGATTGAAATTGATATTCACTGTTTTAAATTGAAATATAATCATGAATCAACATCTCAAGGGTATTTAGATTTTTCAAAACAGGGTTCAAATGCATAATTTTGAGGAAATTAGTCCACCAAATAAAATAGGTAGTTCATTAACAATCAAATAAAATAAAAAATAAAATAAAATTTTAATGCACATTTTATATATTTTTATTTATTTATTTATACATATTTTAATATACTTTTACGCATACGAATTTTAACCACAACACATTGTACAATTATTAGTATTTTTCAATAAAATAAATGGAAAACCACATTCAAGGGCACTTTAAGACAACACTATTTTAACATCACTTTTGAAAGTATAAGCAAACAGAATTTTAAGTCATGAGTTTAGCCACAAAAGAAAATTTGGGAAGAAAATTTTGAGGCTTTTTTGGCTATTTTAGCCACAAAAGACAAAATAGGCTATTTTAGCCACAAAAAACAAAACATCACATTCAACCCATAATCATTACACTATTCTCTCACAAAAAAAGTCAAAAAAGTCAAAAAGTCAAAAAGTCTTTTTCAAACCAAACTTTTTAGCTCAGGCTAAAATAGCCAAAAAAATCAAAAAGCCAAAAAACTAATCCACTTCCCAAACGTAAGCTTAGTTTAAATCATGAGTTTTTGTTAGTGAGTGTCCTTAATACATTTGTTAAGAAATTTCAAATGATTGGACATTACGCATGAGAGCACATGTAAAAACGAATATGCAATCAATTTAGATTTTGTTAACGTATACTTTTAAAATATATGTTAAGAAATTTTAAAAAATTATAAATTCTACATGAAAGTATGTACAACAAAAACGTAATTTTTTAAAATTTTTCTTAACATGTACTCTAATACTGTGTTTGGATTATGAATTCACATTTTCCTTGCATTTTCCTTTTTCTTTTTAAATCTTCACTTAAATTTATAATCCAAACACAACCTATAGACACACGTTAACAAGACCTTTAA